TTTCAGAATGTGTTCAGATGGCCATTTTATGACAATATTTGAAGCTCATAAGAAAATGCACATGTTGGATGGGAGACAAACCTTTATTGGCATTAGCGTTGCTGCTCTCGTCTTTGCCGTACGTTTCCAGGAATTCAGAGAAAGCTCCTTTACTGGCTCGAAGGCCATCGTATGATCCTACCTCAGACACCACCCCATTCACCAAGACAACAATCTCATCTACATACGGCAGGAAGCTGATCCCATGAGTTACCAGGATACGAGTCTACAGAGAAAGAGATGAGGACAAAACAGAGCAATGCATTTGGTTTGCAGTGCAGCAATTTAGGTAAGACAGAAAATATGCTTTATTTAGTGATTGAGCATTGTATTTTCATTAGAGATCAGTCTACATTTGAGATACAGTAAGTTGGGAAGCCAGCCTGAAGAAAATCTGAAAAGTCTCCTACCTTGTCTTTGAGCAGTCCTTTGGGTCCGATCACCCTCTCAAACAGATGTTTCCCCACATGTGAGTCTACCGCAGACAGTGGGTCATCCAGAAGGTACACGTCTGCGGAGCTGTAGACCGCCCTGGCCAGACTCACCCGCTGTTTCTGTCCTCCACTCAGATTGATGCCCTGCGGTACAGAATATGACACATGAAAGAGTTTCCCAACACATTAGCACTACACATTTCTGAACTCTTCCTAATCAAATAGTTGAGCTCATTAGACACTCAAAGTCCTGAAACAGATGAGTCAGAGGTTAAAAGAACTGCTGCAAAACATACAGCATGCCACAAACACATCAATCACTGCAATAATGATCCAATCCTAAACTCTTCTGTATTTGAACCCAAATGGCCATTTTTGGACATGCAGTATATAGTTAATTTTTTCCCCCACGCCTCTGGCAAGATGCCCATGTCTCCCATGCCTAAATCTGCTTCTGAATATGCAAACTGTGACTTTACGGTCACCGTTTTCAGGTTTTCTTATATGTGACCCTGGAGCACAAAACTAGTCTTAAGTCGCTGGGG